AATTTTTTTTTTTTTGAGAGAGAGGGACAGTGCAAGCAGGGGAGGGTCAGAGAGAGGGATACAGAATCCGAAGACAGGGCTCTGAGCTAGCTGTCAACACAGAGCCCAACACGGGGTTTGAACCCATGACCCGCGAACTCATGGCCTGAAGTCAGACGCTTAACCAATGAGCCACCCAGGCTCCCCTAAAATCATAAATCTTAAGCATTGTCACCACATACACACAAAGTAACCATGTGGATCAATAGGTGTGTTAATTAACTTGATTGTGATAATCATTCCACAGTGCTTATATATATCAAGCCATTACTTTGTACACTTTAAATATATATAATTTTGTCAATTACACCTCAATAAAGCCAGAAATTTTTTAAAAGTAAAATCAGTGGTATTTGCTTTTAAAAATAATTGGTTTCCACAATGACTGAGTAGTCTCTTGTGTGTAAACTTGTATCTTTCCTCTTGCTAAAGGTAATTTTTAAAATAGTATTAAATTTTTGTTTTTGGGGGGGCGCCTGGTTGGCTTTGTTGGTTAAGCGTCCGATTTTGGCTCAGGTCATGACCTCAAGGTTTCTGAGTTGGAGCCCTGTATCAGGCTGTGTCAGCAGGGGGCCCGCTTCCTATTCTGTCCCCCTTTCTCTCAGCCCCTTCCCAGCGTGCACTCTCTTTCTCTCAAAAATAAACATTAAAAAACTTTTTTGGTTTTTATTGAGGTATAATTTTCATACCATAACACTCACCCTCTTCTATGCACAGTACTATGCTACGGAACCACTACAATCAGAATTCAGAACTGTTCTATGCCTCCTGAACCGCCCCCCCCCGCCCCCCACTGGGCTCCTTTGTGCTCAGCCCCTCCTCCCATCTTCACCTCCTAGAAGGCAGGGCTCTGTTTCTGATCCTCTGCTTTCTCCAGAAAGTCATGTAAAAGGAATCAGGCTTCTTTCACACCCACTAATGCATTTGCAATTCATTCATGGGTACATCGAGAGTTTAATCCTTTTTACGGCTGAGTAGTTCTCCATTTACAGTCATGCCACATTTTGTATATGGATTCACCAGGTTAAGGACATTTGTGTTGCTTCCATTTGGGGATAAATAGGAATAAAGCCACATACATTTGTACAAACATCTGTGTGAACTTATCTTTATTCCACTTGGATAAATACTGTGGAGTGGGATTACTAAGCTACATTTTAAAACTACATGTTAAGTGAATGTTTAACTTTATTATTTTTTTTAATTTTTTTTAAATGTTTTTATTTATTTCTATGAGAGAGAGAGAGAGAGAGACAGCATGAGCAGGGGAGGGTCAGAGAGAGAGGGAATCACAGACTCCGAAACAGTCTCCAGGCTCTGAGCTGGCAGTCAGCACAGAACCCGACGCAGGGCTCGAACCCATGAACCGCGAGATCATGACCCAAGCGAAAGTCGGACGCATAACCGACTAAGCCACCCAGGCGCCCCGAATGTTTAACTTTATAAAAAATATCAGACTGTGTTTTGAAATGGAAATCATCAAGATGAGATGTCCTAACTGCCAGGAGCAGCACCGGCCTCTCTGGATGGCAGTCACAGCAAGGAAATGGCAATGTCTGCACAGCTCCTGCCATGAGAAATGAAGACTAGTATCTCCTTCTGCTACTACTGGCTCATGTTGGAAATGAGCCTGCTGGTATTGACCAGGCCTCACAATATTCCATATCAGACCCATATTCTGAACACAGTTACCTCATAGGAAAAGCATATTTCCTGCCTTTACAAAAGAGATTTTAGATAAGAGCTCTGTGGATCATTGTCAAAAGGTTCTTCCTATGGGCCTTGCAGATCCAAGACTTAGATAATAAAGGGGGTTAAGAACACAAGAGTTACTATTGAGCCTGGTCCCATATCAGAAGAGCCTAATTTATAGTTAAGGTACAGATAAGTATCGAACATAACTTACTAATTGGTGATGTATGGCAGTCCCTTCCTCGGGGCCTACATTCCACAAACATCCTCCCTTACACTGGCAGCTGGGATGAGGATAGATAAGAGTAATTAAAACATAAACCCAGATGCAAAGACTGATACATATAGAGCCCCCTTGGTAGTTTCCACAAACTAACCAATTCAGAATCATTCATCCTCTTGAGAGCCAGACAGAATGACTCCTAACTTATCTATATACAATGTAACCTATATGTTATCCTGTCTCTCACTAAGAGCATCCTGTTATTTCCTTGGTTGTAAATTCACCATGACTGGGATAATTCTGCAATTGATATCACAAAAGACCTCTCATTGTAAGAAATTCCTTTTCTCTGACCTCATATGGTTGTTGAACCTTTAAATAAAGACACTAAAACTGACAGGACAGAGATGCCTGCCTGGTGATCAGAAAGAATCTCGGGGCTCTCTCATTCTCTCTCGCCGACACCGTCCATCCTTCAGGGACCCCTGGACCTGTCGGAGCCGGCGTGGCCTCCGACACCTAACCATCCCTGATCACAAATAGGAGGGGAGATGGGAGTGTAAACCCCCAGACGCTCAATCTAACCTGCCATCAAGTTCCGTAAAATCAATATACTCCTCTCCCATTCCCAAGTCCTCAGCTCTCAGGGAAACGACAACTTTTAGCCGTGTGCATAAAAGCTCACTGTGCTAGGAGGTCTCCTGTGCTGTTATTTCCCTCTGTTAATCAGGCAGAATGGCTGATCTGAAGAGATCAGGGGCAATGACAATCTGAGACACAGTAACATCAAGCAAACCCCTACCAATTACTCTACCTATTACCTCTCTTTCCTTCCCTCTGTAAGGAAGGAGAGAGCATAGGGACACCAACAAGAAAACTAAATGGAGAAATTATACTAGTGTTGGTTAAGAGATCTTGTTTTTTACCTAGTCATTGATGAGTCTAAGAAAACAAACTTGGGACTAGAAAGCAGCAGTTTATCCTTCCTATAGTGTCAATTTCTTTTATCCTGTGTCTAAACATGCAATAGGCAGAGTTGACTTAATATTAACTATTGCCTGGTTTATAAATGCTATTAGAGCAGAACAGTGTCATGGGCTAATCCCCCAGAGGAGATAACCCAAAAATCACTTCTATTTAGTTTCCAAGTTTCTTTCTTTTCTTAATAAGTCTTCCCTTACCATTATAATACTTGGTTTCCTTCTCCTATGCTGATTTGACTGTTGGAAGTAATACTCACCAGGGACATACTATTTGGCATAGAGACACCACCCTGGGATTAGACAACTGAATAGTGCACAAGATTTAATGTATTACTCCTTCAAGGGCCTTACATCAGAGTCCCCTGGAAAGAATAAAATGAACTGGCAGGGAGGGGAAGGGTAGGGACCGAAGAGGAGATAACCAGCAGTCGAGATTTTGGAGGGATAAGCGAAAGGCTGCAGTAAAAATGTACCTTTTTTCTGAAAACTGTCTTTGGTTTAAAGCCAGAGAATAACTAGAGTTTATTAGGGGCAGAGGAAATACAAAAGGCAGAGAAGTGGATTTGTTGAACTTAAGTGGATGAGTTTTCAATTTAAAATAAACTTTTCAATTAAACAGAGCTGCTCATTCAGAAAGGGTGGCCTTAGGGCACCTGGGTGGCTCAGTCCATTAAGCATCTGACTTCAGCTCAGGTTACGATCTTGAAGTTTGTGAGTTCCAGTCCCCAGTCTGGCCCTGTGCTGACAGCTCAGAGCCTGAAGTCCGCTTGGGATTCTGTCTCCCCCTCTCTCTCTCTGCGCTCCCCGATTTGCAGTGTCTCAGCCCCTCCCCCACTCGCAATGTGTGTGTGTGTGTGTGTGTGTGTGTATCTCAAAATAAACAAACATTAAAAATAAAAAAGAGTGGTTTTGTACAACTTGGGGTTCCTGATCACTGGCTGTTTAAGTGGTATTATCTTGTTAGAAATGTAGTAAACAGCATTCATGTGTATTAAAAGCTTACTCTGGACAAGGTGCATGCAGAATATGAAGCGGAATCAAATCCAGATTTCTTCTCTGCGAGCGGTCAAACCAGTGCTTCATATACACTCGTATGTATACACATTCCCCTGAGGATCTTGTTAAACTGCAGATTCTGATTCTGCAGTGAAGGAAGATTCTGAGTCTGCAGTTAACGGCCTCAGAGTCTACACCTGTAACAAGCCCCCAGGTGATGCCAATGTTGCTGGGCTGCGTGAACGCAGATTGCGCGATAAGGGGTTTCTCGTAGGGAATTAAACGTACACATAATTATACAAAGTAAGAATTGGTAAATACCGTCGAAGTTCCATTAATTATCCGTAAAGACCTAGATCTGTCCCAGTCCGAGGGCCATCTTTGTCCTTTTCTGCCTTCCGTGTTCCTTCTGATGTTTTGGTTGTTGCTCTCTTTCTCACATTTTATTTCTTCTGGGGTTGCTCATTGCATATGTCGTCTCTTGGCTTAGAATAGCTTTCGCCTCCTCCCTCAGACTAACGTTTCACTAATTTGTCAAGGTCTATCTCCAAATCACCCCTTATCCCCGGGGACCCCAGTCGAGGCTGACTGCTCCCCACATCAGTTCGTTTGAACCTCAAGCACTTGCCACTACTTCCTTCTGACTCCAGCAGGAAGTCTGGGTTTTAATCCCCCATCGGAACCCACCTCTCCGGGTTGCCTAGCCTGAAAACCCTGCCCCGAAAACGTTTTGGCGAACCTGAGGCCGTGCGAGGCGGCCGGGAAGAAAGCGGCGCCCCTTCTCCGGGTTCTGCACCCGAGCCCGGCGAGGCGGTTCTAAGTGTCATCTGGAGACTGTGCCCCGAAAGGAAGGCCCGGGGGCTGAGCGCCACATCGATTCCCGGTCCTCGGGGTCCTCGGCCGCCGAGCGGACCTCCCAGCCCCGACGCGACGCTGACTGCGGAGCGGGCGCCCCCGCCTGGCGCAGGAGGCTGCCCACCATCGAGGCGCTGGCGGCTAGAGAGGCCGGCGAGCTCCAGGCGCCGTCGCCGCGCGGCCGCAGGGAACGCGCGCGGGGCGGGCCTCGCGCCACTGGCCTTGTAGCCATTTTAGGAGGAAACCCGGATCGCTAGCCCGGGGCGCGGCTTCAATTTCAATAACTTTATTGGCGGCCTCATCCGCTGAACAACCATCGCACTGGTGGCTGGGGGAGGAGGGAGAGCATCGCGGGAGGTGATTGGGGAGGGGGCGCGCCTGGGCAGTGCGCGCAGGGAATGCGGGGAGTTCCCGAAAGTGGGTTTCCTGAGCAGCGCGCATCCCGAGGGTTTGGAGGGAGGTGGGCTCCAGGCGCCCGTGGAGGCTGGGCAAGGAAAGGTCCCCGGGCTCGGCTTCCCTGGGGCGGGGATTCCCTTGCCCGGGTCCCCAGGCGCAGGGGCGGAGTCAGGGGCGCCCCTGACGCGGCCGCCGGGGGTGTTCCTAGTCCCGTGTTGTTCCCCACGGCAGGTGGCCCCCGACTCGAGCTCCAGCCATGGGAAACACCACCAGCGACCGGGTGGCTGGGGAGCGCCACGGCGCCAAGGCTTCACGCGCCGAGGGCGCCGGCGGCCATGCGCCGGGCAAGGAGCATAAAATCATGGTGGGGAGCACCGACGATCCCGGCGTCTTCAGCCTGCCGGACTCCAAGGTGAGCGTTCCCCACGCCCCCGGCGGGCGCCGCTGCAGCGGGCCGGGTGTCGGCGCTCCTCCTCCCTTGGTTTCTTAGCACACTGACCTAGCTTACGGTTTTCTGAATTAAAGGGATTTTTCGGGCACGGAGACGTTGGATGGTAACTACTCCTGCGGTGCTGCCTCAAATTAGGATAGAGGCGGAGTTTTTGTTGTTCGACTAATCTGCTGGTCACGATTACGATGGGGACTGTAGACCCCTCCCTCCAATCCCTGGTTTTCCTAACGGGCAGGTGCCCTCTTCTAGAGTATTGATGAATTTATAGGTTGTAAGCCCTAGTGGGAAACTTCACAGGGTAGGTTGCCTGAGGTGCTGGTCATAGGCGGCAGTTTCTCAAATTTGCCCTGAGGTGGGTAAGTGAATTTATTTTTCTTGGATCAGTATCATTTTGCCTTTCTAAGAACTCAGTCCTTCTCTTTCTTTTTTAATTTATTTAAATTCAAGTTAGTTAACATACAGCGTGGTATTGTTAAGAACTCAGCACTTCTGATCCTCTTCGCCTAGGCAGGGCTGTGAGCCATGCAACCACTTGCTTATTTGATACATTCTCCTAATCTTGGGGATCAATAAAGGACCTGCTTTGGTTGACTGCTCAGCATTCATCTCATACTTTATAGTTGGGGTAGCTGAGATGGTGTTTCCTTCACGCCCAGCTGCTCCTCCAGTGGGAGAGCAAATGATCCCAGGAATTCTCGACTTCCGGGTAGTTCATAATGTTACCATCGTTGAAAACAGACAGCCCACAGCTGTCCGGAGACCTTGATCTCAAATCCAAGGACTTTCAGAAAAGTGGCAACATGTGGTCACCGGCAGAGATAGATGGAGCTGACAGCGATGTGATTACCAGCCTAATGTTCCCAGTCACACTTATAGCTGTCAGCAGACAGTCCGAGTGGAATGAGGTAGAAAAACAGAGATTGGGGTATGTTTGATGTTTGTTTGTTTTGTTGTTTATGTTTTTTAAATTTATTTTTATCTTTTAAATTACTTATTCTTTTTTTTTTTTTTTTTTTTTGAGAGAGAGACAATGTGAGCAGGGGAGAGACAGAGAGGGAGAAACAGAATCTGAAGACAGGCTCCAGGCTCTGAGCTACCTATAAGCACAGACCCTGACGCGGCACTCGAACCCACAGACTGTGAGATCATGACCTGAGCCGAAGTTGGATGCTTAACTGACTGAGCCCCCCAGGCGCCCCAATGTTTTTGTTAATCACTACAAACCTTTCACCAAACTGGAGTTTGTATTACAGAGTAAAGAATGATTTGCCCCATTGGTGGCACATGAAATTTGGATTCTGTTTGTTTTCTTGAATCCTAGTTGAGAACATAACTACAGAAAAAGATCTTAGTCAGGGTGATGAAAAGGACCACGTCTTGGTGTTTCTCCTTCATTCCTTTCTCCCTCCTCCCACTTCAGGATTTCTTCCTCAGCATATGAGCTGTCTGCCCAGTCACTTGCATTTCTTCTTGAAAGCTTTTTCAAGGTGGTCCACCTAATTTTACCCTTTTCCTACATCGATGACTCAGGACTTAAGTACGGTGAGTGTGTTTGTCACACTGTGGCTGCAGTCACTGGTGTCTTGAATAAAAGCCAGGTTCCTGCATCTGAAATGGAACCAATTTGGGGTCATTCTTTCCCTTCCCTCAGTCTTGTCATTTGTAAGACAATCGGTTCAGATAATTCCTCAGGTGTCTTCTACGTCTAACATTTTACAGTTCTCAAGCTAGTCTCTTTACTTTGTCCTTCAGTGTTTTACTTAAACCTTTTCTAACTCTAATTCTCATTGTTTTGCCTCTTTTCCTGATGATTTTGCTGACTGCTTAACTTGGAGTGAATGGTCTTTCCGCTAGTCAGCTGCACTCAGGCCTGCCTCGGAAATGTCATGTCAAATGTGGAAGGGCTTTCTTCCAAAGTGGCATATTAATAGTTTGTAGCTTTCAAATTCTAAACTGAAAATACTAAAACATGAAAGTAACTCATAGGAACAGTGTCAGTGGGGCCTGCATTCCTTCAAATGCCAGTCTTCTTCGGTGGACTCCTTTAGTGGTTCTCAATCCTATTCGCACATTAGAATCACTCGAGATTTGTTTAAACACTGTATGGAAAGTTGGAAACATTTTCCATGTTTCAAAGTAGGGAAAAAAGTGTAACGAACTCCTATATACCCATCACCCAGTTTAAGTAATGATCAGATTGTGAACAAATTTATATCATCTGACCCCAATCCACTCTCTCCCCCCCACCATTATTTTGAAGCGAATTCCAGACATCCTCGCAAATATTCTCTTACCTGTAAATATTTTAGGATGTATCTCTGAAGATGAGGTTCTTTCTTTATTTTACCTTAATCACAGTATTATTCTTATTATCTGTGAACCTTTTTGAGAAGTAGATTCCTAGGCCCTATATCTAAATCAGAATCTGAGTTCCTTTTAGGCACATGTAAAATTTCTGTGATTTTAAGGCAGCCAGTGAGGCAAGAGTGCATTGCTTTAAGAAGATGGAGATCAAAGTTTTCACTTAAGTCACTTATGTAATATGAAAGTCCCTTCAATAAGTCACATATGTAATATGAAAATCCCTTCAATTCTGTTTCTCTGTTTACTTTGGCTTATGCTGTTCGTGGTTGTCTCATAGTGTAGTCTTGAGGAATATAGAGAGACAGTATAGAAGGTAGACTACCTTAGCCATTTGGAAAGTAAAGCCCAAGTGAATAAGTTAATCCTTTTTTTTTAACCCACATTATTTTATTTGCTAATGTTTTGACTTGATACAGTACAGTCCTATATACCAAAGTCATTTAAGCTAGTCTAAAGTGGGGGTCAGCAAACTTTTTCTGGAAGGGACCAGACAGAAAATATTTTAGACTTTGTGGGCCATATAGGCTCTGTCACAACCACTCAATACTGCTACTAGAGCGTGAAAGCAGCTGTAGATAATATAAATGAATGTGTGTGGCTCTTTTCCAATAAAAGCTTATTTATAAAAGCATCTGGCTTCCTGGCCGTAGTCTGCCAACTCTCGTTCTAAAGGATGGTAATGCAAAGAAACTAAGTAAGGAGCCAATTGTTTTTTAGAATCCAACAGATGTCATTGGAACCACTTTTGTTAAAGGAAGCTGGGGTTTTGATCTGATACTCCTTGAGGGTCCAGAATTTTCATCCCTACCCCTGAAATAATTAGTATAAGCTTGGCAGAACACTTCCCCAAATTTAAGAAACCAATGATAATGATTTTTTATATTTTTATTGTCCTTTTTGTAACCTATTAGCTAAAATGAAGGTTATGAATTATTTATAAATTTCTGTATCTCTAACTTCCATTACCACTGATCATTGAAACCTGTTGATATTTACAGGTGAAAAATACATGGCTAACTTTATTGCTTTTTATAGAAGCATATTTTGTTCTCATATTTTTTCTCTTAAGAGGCACTCGGAAACATGTCATAATTGCTTGCCTATGAGTTAATCTGGTAACAGAGAGTAAGCTTCCCCTCTTTTTTTTTTTTAATGTTTATTTTACTTTTGAGACAGAGACCGAGCTTGAGTGGGGGAGGGGCAGAGAGAGAGGGCATCACAGAATCCGAAGCAGGCTCCAGGCTCCAGGCTCCGAGCAGACAGCACAGAGCCTGACACAGGGCTCGAACCCACAGACCGTGAGATCATGACCTGAGCCGAAGTTGGCCACCCAACCGACTGAACCACACAGGCGCCCCCCCCTTCTTTTTTTTTTAAAGGGAGATCCTAAGGATCTCCCTGAAAGGGTGGGTGATGTATGCAGACTAATGTTAGGCTGTGATTTGGGCAATCTTTGAGCATAAGCCATTTGACCATTTTGGTCCTAGATGAGTTTTTTTTCTATAGTTTGTTCAAAATCTGATTTAGTTGCCAATTTCAAGGCTTACTGATCCTTAGCAGAAACCTAGCACCCCCTCTGTACCCTAGGGGGAAGGAAGTGATCTTTTAAGAATTCCTGGGTCACAATTTAGGGATGACCTAATCTTTCTTACAGCTCCCTGGGGACAAAGAGTTTGTATCATGGCAACAAGATTTGGAGGACTCTGTAAAGCCTACGCAGCAGGCCCGGCCCACTGTTATCCGCTGGTCTGAAGGTGGCAAGGAGGTCTTCATCTCTGGGTCCTTCAACAATTGGAGCACCAAGATCCCACTGATTAAGAGGTGAAGACCAGTGTCCTGGTTGAGTCTATAGGGTCCAGGAGCAGAGACCTGATTTCCTGTCTCAGAGAGGGACCTGGCTGGACTGCTCCTCTCCATCTGCTGGGGACTCTCTCTAGAACATTGTCTGTGACCAATGACTATATTTGTGACTTTTTTTTTAAGCCTCACAGTGAGTCAGAGATGTTTGACCAGTTAGAATATCATCGCCTCAGAGGCACTTACGGTAATGACTTTGTGGGTACACTCCTCAGGACTGTTCACACAAGTCCTGTCTGTGCTTGTGGGAATTCTTCTGTTGCTAGCCGAGTCCGCTCGTTCGGACTTCTGCTTCAAAACAAATCACCACGTGACGTTCTGGTCAGTAATGTGAGCTGTTGCTTGCAGAGAAATAATGAATTATTTGGTGAACAGAATGGCCCTTTACATGTAGATCGTTTTTCAGAAACTGCTCACGAAAATGTGGAAAGGGTAACTGAGGCACTTCTGCATCCGGAAGCTACCTACTCTTCTTCACACTTGTGAGGGAGCTGTTCCTGCTGAAGCAAATCCGCTGTGCTCGGCTGAACCATTTTGGGGGATTAACATCTCTATTATTCTCTTCCAGATAGTAGTTAAGAACTCAATTTATTGGGAGGGGCTGGCAAATATGTCTTCAAGGTGATACAGAAAAGGAGAATGGGTCTATAAATGGTTTTTTATTCCGGGGGAGACAGCTGCTTAGGAATGTGTGAGATTATTGGCATGATGTGAATGTCTCGTGGTTTTTACATTAAATTCCATCCGCTAATAGGAACTCGGCCTGTTTAACATTCTGTTTTCTTCTGTAGCCATAATGACTTTGTTGCCATCTTAGACCTCCCTGAGGGAGAGCACCAGTACAAGTTTTTTGTGGATGGACAGTGGGTTCACGATCCGTCAGAGGTAAGGCCTTGATTTCCAAGGGTAACCATGAACTTAACTGTGTGCTTTTGACTATTACTCCCTTTGGGGTCAGCTGTCACTGCTGTCAGGACTGATGGGCCCCCACACTGGAGGGTTTCTCTCCCGATTAAAGATGGACGTGGCGAGCAGGACCTGTTTAAAGTGGGAGGTTAAGGGCGCCTGGGTGGCTTAGTCGGTTAAGCGTCCGACTTTCGCTTGGGTCATGATCTCGCGGTTCGTGGGTTTGAGCCCCACGTCGGGCTCTGTGCTGACTGCCAGCTCAGAGCCTGGAGCCTGTTCGGAGTCTGTGTCTCCCTCTCTCTCTGACCCTCCCCTGCTCACGCTGTCTCTCTCTCTCTCTCTCCTAGTAATAAATAAATAAATAAATAAATAAATAAATAAATAAAATAAAGTGGGAGGTTAAATGGAAGAGACGAGTTTGAAACCGGGTTTCTGAGTTTTTTCCATTCATTGTTTCAGCCTGTGGTGACCAGTCAGCTTGGCACGATTAACAATCTGATCCATGTCAAGAAATCTGACTTTGAGGTGTTTGATGCTTTAAAGCTCGATTCAATGGAAAGCTCAGAGACATCTTGTCGAGGTAATTTTGTAGTATTTGCTCTTTCTTGATGTGTTTTTCTCACAATGCGTGTTCTTTCCCAAGGGTAGTTTTTGTTTGTTTTAATGTTTATTTATTTTGAGAGAGGGAGAGAGCGAACATGAGTGGGGGAGGGGGGGAGAGAGAGAGCAAGAATTCCAAGCAAGCTTTTTGCTGTCAGTGCAGAGCCTGACATGGGGCTCAGTCCCATGAACTGAGATCATGATCTGAGCCAAAAGCAAGAGTCAGACGCACAACAAGCTTAGCCACTCAAGTGCACCTTGTTTGTTTTTTCCTTTCCTCCTCAGGAATCTTCTGAATCCTATATATGTTTCATATACACATACATATGTAATATGTATATGTAATACATATATGTGAATCATACATATGTCTTATGTATGTGTGTATATGTAAACATTTAGGTCTCCTCTGAAACCAGGAAAACTTAAGTCTAGTGAATTTCATTTTAAACTTTTGTTTTTTAATGTTCATTTATTTTTTTGAGAGAGATAGAGCATGAGCAGAGGAAGGGCGAAGAAAGAGGGAGACATCTAATCTGAAGCAGGCCGAGGCTCTGAGCTGTCAGCACAGAGCCTAGCATGGGGCTCAAACCCACGAACCATGAGATCACGACCTGAACCAAAGTTGGATGCTTAACTGACTGAGCCACCTAGGCGCCCTCATTTCGAACTTTTTAACCAAGATCTACAGCAGCACATTTTGTTTTTCATTGTTACCCAATTTCCTCCCTCCTTCTCTCCCTCTCTTTCCCTCTTCCTCCCTCCCCCTCCCCTCTTCTCTCTCTCTCTCTCTCTCCCCCGCACCTAAACGCACACACCTGTACCACAAGTCTCATAGCAGAATGTGTGCCTTTGTTACATGCAACGTACTCTGTTTTCTGTTTTATTGAAAACAGCCCCTTACTGGGACCCACGCTGAGCATGGAGCCTGCTTCAGATCCCCTCTCCCTCTCCCTCTGCCTTTCCCTCACTCATGGACTTTTGCCTGCACTGTCTCTCAAAAAAAATACATAAAAAGTAAGATAAAAACCTATTTCTAGTAATGTTTCAAGGTTTCACTGACCCTTCGGCAGTATCATCCAGCCAAGGCTAGTTGTGTCTGGTTTGCCTTGTTTAGATGCATTAGCTTAATCCTGCCAGGCTGATAGCTTAGCTGGCAGATTTATAGGGCCCTCCAAGTATGGCAGTCTTGGGGCGGGGGGCAAGGGTTCTTTCTGCGTATATTAACTGAAATTTTATAAGTTTTTGGTTAAAAGAAAATTCCTTGGTAGAGGAAAAGACCTGCATCTTTTTGTTTCTCCAAATACTACTTTTTCCACGGCTTCCATCACATTGGCTGTAGCATCTGAAGAGTGATTTGCTTACCACACTCACAGTCACCAGTCTGTTACATGGCAGTAAAGGCTGTACCAGCCCAAAGAGCTGTGTGCTGTGTTCCCAGTAAGTGCACTTTTCCTTTTGGAGTTCAGAGCCAACCCCTGCCACTCGCCGGCTAGGGATTCACAGCCAGGTCCTTCAGCCTTTTCCCTTGAGTCGGGTGGATCAGAATATCAGGGCACACACGGTGTGGCTTCCAGCAGACCTGTCCATGGCATCATAATTGTCTGTCTGTGAAAATCATAAAAATACCGTTTTTATTAGATAAGCTCAGAATGTAAAGTTGGACGTTCTTCTTGGCCGGTGGGGCGGTGATCAGCGAGAGTCTAATCCTGAATTAAATGACGAGACCGCTTGCATGGTGCTGTGTGATTCTGGCAAAGCAGCCGGTCAGCGGTCGACATCTACCCGTAACTGTACAGAAGGAGGACAGGCATGCTTTTGATCTTTCTTCTTTCACCCAGTCTCCTGGTCTCCTTTGTATCTGTATGGATTTGCCTATTCTGACCTTTCATATAAATGGGATCACACAGTACATGATCTTTGATGTCTGGCTTCTTTTACTCAGCATGTTTTCAGAGTTCATCCATGTTTCAATGTGTATCAGTACTTGACTCTTTTTTTTTTTTTAAAGTTTATTTACTTTTGAGAAAGAGAGAGAGAATGGAAAAGGGCAGAGAGAGAAGGGGAGAGAGAGAATTCCAAGCAGGCTCTGTCCTGTTAGTGCAGAGCCCAAAGCAGGGCTCAAACTCATGAACCACGAGTTCATGACCTGAGCTGAATGCTTAACCCATGGAGCCACCCAGGGGCGTTAATAATACTTCACCCCTTTTTGGGGCGCCTGGGTGGCTTAGTCAGTTAAGCGTCTGACTTTCGCTTAGGTCATGATCTCGTGGTTCGTGGGTTCGAGCCCCGCGTCGGGCTCTGTGCTGACTGCCAGCTCGGAGCCTAGAGCCTGTTTCAGAGTCTGTGTCTCCCTCTCTCTCTGACCCTCCCCTGCTCACGCTGTCTCTCTCTCTCCGAGAAATAAATAAAAAAATATTTAAAAAAATAATAATAATACTTCACCCCTTTTTGTGACTTAATAAAATTACACTGTATAGATAGACTATTTTGTTTACCTGTTAGCTGATGGACATTGGGATTGTTTCCACTTTTTGTCTATCATAAACAACGCTGTTCTGGACATTGTGCTCAAGTTTTTGTGTGAACATGTTTTCATTTCCCAAGAGTGTAATTGCTGGGCCATGTGAGAACTTCACATTTAACTTTTGGAGGAATTGCCCAGCTGTTCTCCGAAGCTACTGGCACCATTTCTCACTCCCTCCAGCAACAGGTAGTACTCCACATCCTCACCAACAATTATTTAAAAACAAATTTTTTTTTTAATGTTTATTTGTTTTTGAGAGAGAAAGAGAGACACACACACAGCACAAGCGGGGCAGGGGCAGAGAGAGACACACACACACAATCGAAAGCAGGCTCCAGGCTCTGAGCTGTCAGCACAGAGCCCAGTGCAGGGCTTGAACTCACGAACCGCAAGATCATAACCTGAGCCGAAGTCAGAAGCTTAACCGACGGAGCCAGTCAGGCGCCCCACCAACAATTATCATTGTGTCTTTTATATTGTGGCCATCTTTTTTTTTTATTTTTTATTTTTTAAATATTTTTATTTTATGTTTAGGAGAGAGAGAGAGAGACAGTGTGAGCAGGGGAAGGTCAGAGAGAGAGGGAGTCACAGACTCTGAAACAGGCTCCAGGCTCTGAGCTGGCAGTCAGCACAGAGCCCGACGCGGGGCTCGAACCCACGAACCGCGAGATCATGACCCAAGCGAAAGTCAGACGCTTAACCGACTAAGCCACCCAGGCGCCCCTATTGTGGCCATCTTAATGAGTGTGAAGTGGTATCTAATGCTGGTTTTGGTTTACATTTCCCTAACAACTACTTCCTTGTTAGTAATCTTGTCCTTACTGTTGCTATCAGTGTAGCCTCAGCAGTCCTAAGAGTTTATATCCTTGTTGTCTGTTGCTTGGATGTAAAAAAAAAAAAAAAAAAAGAAATCTTAATTTTTTTCACATTGACCATTCACAAGGCATTGTCACATCTGTTATCTCATTTGATTGCCATAAAAACATTGTGAAATAGGGTAGAGATATTACTTTCATTTTATGAAGAAACTGACTGTAGCAGGAAGGTTTGTCCCAGGTCATACAACTGATCAATAGAGTAACTCTTCTCTGAAGCTACAGCTTTTACTCCTCATCCCCCCTCTGTCCTCCACGTCATGTTGCCGTGTTGAGGAATTTCATGGTTCAGGTTCAGGATGACTCCGACTCTTTCTTTGCCTTACATTTGGAGAGCCAGCAGGTTATAAGTTTATGATCAATGATTTCTGCCATATTTAATATTAACTGCCATGTATTGACAGTTTTTTTCATGCACTTTTACTAGTTTTCCAACTTTCCCTTATATTTGGGTAAATATCTTCCAGACCTTTCCAGCTCTCCTCCAGGGCCTTACGGTCAAGAGATGTACGTGTTTCGATCCGAGGAGAGATTCAAATCCCCACCCATCCTACCTCCTCACCTTCTTCAAGTTATTCTTAACAAGGACACTAATATATCTGTGAGTATCCTGAAAGGATTGCTGGGGCCTCTGGGGGTTACTAGGACCATCTGAGCAAAGTCAGTAATCCTAGAGGTCAGGATTATTACAGAGCTGTTTTGAGAATATAAATCACATATGTAGCAATAGCATTACATACAGATCCTCTTTTCCAGAGCTGAGTTGTTACTTTTCCAGGCATTGATATCAAAATTCATAGTTATCTTCTGATCATAATACATTAGACCCAGAACCATGGTTTGTTAGAACCAGTTTCTGGGACTTCTATTCCAACAGAAGATAAGGCATATTTATCAGTTGGGGTATACAAAAGGAGCATAAGGGGTTTGGGTTTGGGTTTTTCCCCCGTATAATTGATATCTCTAGTCAATTCACTTGGTTCCCACTAAGATTATTTTTTACCTACTAACACAAATCTTCTGTACATGTTATGGGCAAGATTTTTGTTTTAGCTTTTATTAAGGGAGATAAATAGATGTTAAGGGTTAGAGTTTGCCCTGGACTCCGAATTTTCCTAATTCTCTGTAATGAGAACAAATGGTTGATATATACTAGGGTGAGTATATTATTTAAAAGAAATCTACATTCTAGTTTAGAGTTTCTGAACAGTTTTTTTTTAATGTTTCTTTATTTTTGAGAGAGACAGACAGAGCATGAGCAGAAAAGGGGCAGAGAGAGGGAGACACAGAATGCGAAGTAGGTTCCAGGTGCTGAGCTGTCAGCACAGAGCCCGACGTGAGGCTGGAACCCACGAACCGTGAGATCATGGCCTGAGCCGAAGTCGGACGCTCAACCGACTGAGCCACCCAGGCGCCCCTCAGCAGTTTCCAGAGAGCTCTGAGGAAGAGTAAACTGGTTTAAAATTGTGCATTTAATCCCATTTAGTGATTTTTTTTTTCTTTCTTTCTTAGTGTGACCCAGCCTTGCTTCCCGAGCCCAACCATGTTATGTTGAACCATCTGTATGCATTATCCATTAAGGTGAGCGGGGACCTGGCTCTCCCCCGGACGAGGAGGGTAGGGGTAACACACGCTCTCCAGTGGTGACTTGCCTCGCTACCTCACTGAAGCTACAGCTGGCCGTAATGGTCAAATTGTAGGAGAACTTTCTTTTTTTTAACTAGCAGGTGGGGTTTTTTTGTCTGGGTGTTTATTTATTTATTTTTAAAAAAAGTTTTAAAGCTTTTTTCATTTTTCAGAGACAGAGTGTGAATACGGCAGGGGCAGAGAAGGAGGGAGACCCAGAATCCGAAGCAGGCTCCAGGCTCTGAGCTGTCAGCACAGAGCCCAGTGCAGGGCTCGAACTCACAGACCACGAGATCATGACCCGAGCCAAAGTTGGAAGCCCAACCAACTGAGCCACCCAGGCGCCCCACTGGGTGTTAATTTTAAATCTTAGTCCCTATGCTGTGTTCTGGCTAGCTGATTTGCCCTGTGATTGAATGAACCTTTTTCCTTCCTGGTTTGTTTTTGAATAGCTTTCACCTTTGGACCACCTACTTAGAGTTCATAGCACCGGGATTTCATTTGCAGACAAAGCAAGTGTATCTTTCCAGTTTGGAGAATGCTCAAGTATGACCAAGGCTTTTGCTTTTTAAAGGTGGATATGAGCTGCTCTCAGGTGCTTCACTCACATACCCCACTGATTGCATCTCTCCTCTACACTAGATAAAGGAGAAATGTGACCAGATTTGCTCTGAGTTCTCAGTTTCTGTGCTGCTTTGGAGTCTGGGTAGAAAATACCCATTCAGTCCCATCATGTCTTCGTGGTCTGGCTACCAGAGTAAAGTTTTCTGTAGCCCTGTAATTTTCAAACTAGCCTCAGCATCCTCAGAATCACCGGGGAAGGTGTGTAAAAATACGGATTCAAAGCCTGCGTCCCCAGAGATTCTGCAGTAAGTCTGGGATGGAGCCCCCAGCAATTGTCTTTTAAGCTGCTAAGATTTCTTGGATGTGCAGCCAGGTTAAGGAGATCACTGATATAACCTTTAACAGATTATGTGATACTTTTCAAATATATATTATTGAATTTAAATTTTATAATAACCTTGTGAGGTAAGTATTATTTTTAACCCCTGTTTGATAGATAAAGAAACTAAGGCTCAGAGAAGGTCATGTTGCCAGTAAGTACCGGGGAGAGGACTGAGGTCCTGCTGTCCTCATTCCATGTTCTTTTCTGGTGGTCACCGCACCAGGTCTCTCCAAGTAGGTCCTTCTCTCACCCGCTCCTCACTTTTACCAAACGCTTCCTGGAGCTGAGTTTTTTTCCTGCCTCGCTTGTGTCACATTTAGGCTGTGATCGGCGACCTCTGGTCACAGACTGTTAATCTGAGAAGCATTCACGGTAGACACTACAGCATACGGGGAAATAGGAAGATGGACTGGTTTCTCACTTGAATTTGCCTGGGTTCTTTGGGATGAGACTGGATTTTGCCCCCTTGGCACTGCTGTTTGGCTATCAGCTGATGTTCCTGGGCCTGCCCCCCTGTGGCACACACCCTTCGGCTGTAACACAGCCAGGGAGCGAGTACCGCTTGCCCTTCATATTGACTCTGACTCAGGTCAGCCTCTTGATTACTGGGTTTCTGCTTGGCCCTATGACCCATTTATTCCTGGTTCTGTCAGGTTGTGTAGCCTGTTCGGAGTTGATCCAGCGGTTTGAATACCTTTCCCAAGAAGATCTTGGGGTCCACTTTGTTCAAAGAGAGGGATTCCTGAGTTTCCTCTTGATTAGAATGAACTTTTTCAGTTCATCCCTGGTATTAAATAGAAATTAGATCTGCTTTGGGGCTTGGAAAGGGCGGGAGGGGGATCATGGCCCTCTCTTAATGCGTTTTAGACTTCCTTCTAAAAATGAATGTCAGAATACTTCTTTATTTTTCCCCCATGCAAGTTTTAATTAACCCCAGTATTCAAATTTGAGGTGGGGAAAGGAGTGAGGTAGGAGACTAATATTTCTTCAGCACCTATTATGTGTCAGGTGCTGTGCTAGATAGTCTCATATAATCCTCAGCGCCGCCTTAATGGTAGGTGTTATCCTTTGTAATGATGAGAAAAAAGGCTTAGAGGCATCACATAGATTAGTCAAGGCTACAAACAGTTACAGGAGGAGTCAGGATTGGAACTTAAGTTGAATTGACTCCAAAACTCACCTATTTCTAGAATACCAAACTGTCTCAGTTCAAAGTGAGTGGCTGTGAAAGACTGATGGCTGGGAAGAGCCACCTGTTGCCTAAACTAACGAATTAGCTGCACATTTCTTTCCCGCAGGACAGCGTGATGGTCCTTAGTGCAACCCATCGCTACAAGAAGAAGTACGTCACTACTCTGCTGTACAAGCCCATTTGAAGGGATCCCTTCCTGCCTCCGGGATTCAAGAGAAGCATCTCCCTTGCCTTTCTGGACCCGACCAGTCTTCACTTGAGACTGGAAGGCTGATTTGCTTTGAGGCTGATATGTGTGTTTCAGAGCCTTCGAGTAGGGTGCTCTGCTTTTGCATCTGATCGCAGATGAGAGCTTTATGAGTTCATGGAATTTATTTTCAGAAAAAAAAATTATATATATATATATACATATACATATATAAGAGGAAGGTTAACGGGAGCCTCCTAGCTAGATGTGTTCTCTCTGCCCATGGGGACTCCCCGACACCTGTGCAGGGGGCTGCAGAAGGACCATTACAGGAAGCTTTTTTCCTAAAGTGAAGGAAGAGCCAACTCTCAGGATCCTTGTTGGGTAGAGATTCCGTCACGGCTACCTTGGCTCTCCCAGGAATGGGCTTGTGCCAGACTTTTGCCCCGCGTGTCCTTGGCAGGGGCGGCTTCCCTTGCATGGGTTCTCTGTATTCCTGTAGCGTGCGGCACAGTCTGCTCTTTATGATACCAGGTGCCCAACGGGAACCCTTTTTCTTCTCATTTCTCATTCTTGCTCTGATGCCCTCCTTCCAGTCCTATACCTGACCCTTCCCTATCACAAGACTCACTGGCAGGTGACCCCTTTATGTAAGACCCACCTCAGAGACCAAGGCTGCCAGAAAGTCTCCTTTTTTAATCCAGCACAGGCCCGGCCACTCGGTTCCCACTTATTTTAATTTCTACTAAAGAAAACAAGTCTCAGTGTTATAAAAGGCGGACTGCAGAAGGCCTGCTTTCTTGTGTTGTGCAGTGCCACAGCTTGGGCTGTCTTGGCACATTCCCGTCCAGTCTCCTGCCTGGCCTGGCCCTGCTTCCATATTTTCTTTCACAGAGCAGACAGCTTTGAAGATGGGAGTGGAACCAGGGAAAGCTTTCATGTCTTTCATCCTTGGGAAGTTTTTACGTGCCTACATTTTTCTTTAATTAAAAAAAAAATGCCTTTTCATTGTTCTTAAGAGACCACATAGGAGAATTTTAGGCCCTTGATAAATGGTTCCCAAGATTTTCTTTGACAAGAAAGTAGTAATCTAGCCCTCAACAGTCTCACGTTAATGTGACCTCCCCTGTGCACATCACTGCACTAAACAGTGTTCTAGATACAGATTCAGGTTCACTGGGTGCACCTAGAAAGTTCTTTCAACTTCCAGATCCATTAGGCCAAGAAGCAAGAAAGTAGCCCTGGTGTTCCTAACATGAATAGTATTGCTTCCCTTTACCAAGTGCTACTGGAATCACTTTGTCTTTCTCTTTTTTTAAAGTGTTCGATGATGAAGTGAGGTCAGCGACTTTCCATTTGTGGAATGAAAAGTAGCTACTCAAGCCACACTCTTGGGGTTGTTCCGAGATAAAACTTTTTTCCCCAAATATCTGTGGCTCTTCCATTACAGATAAATGCAAATTAAATGTTCAACTCTGAAGGAGGCCGAATTCGATGCTTGAGAGACCCCTCCACTGTTAGGACGTGTCCAGGCGCACTGAAAGGGCACCCATAGGTCAGTTTAGCTACCTCCTGTCCTGTTCAAAGCTGATGACACAGCTGTCATTGGGTTTATGTAGAGCTGTTAGATCCTGGGAGTGAGGCAGGAGGGCACTGGGGGGTGGTTTTGCTGGGAGTGCAAATGGCCAAGTGCTTTGGTGGTTACTTGCTGAGTATAAATACCGCTTTAGCCACTTCAGGCCACCTTCTGCAACAGAAGACTTGTGTGGGAAACCTTTCAGGGTCCCAACCGCTTTTTGAGTGGTGTGTCATTTAAAAAATCTAGGCCAAAGCCTATTTTTACCAGCTCTCAGGATCTACACTGTCTTCAGTTATACTACTGTTTTTTCCACTACCCATTAAATAAGCAGCCCACATAGGAGGATTCAAAATCTTGGTGGCTAAACGGAGGATTTTGTTACACTCCTTTTTCTTGTCAACAGTATTGAAATGTGATTGCCTGTGTGTTTGTGTATTAAAATTTTTACTCTACGCAGGTGTATCAGTAGAGTGGGGCAGGAAGAGAGAGCCCTTCAGTTTCTCAAGCCAGAGGCTTCTGTGACCGCTTCTGACTCCAGTGACGCTAGATTTTGGTGCTGGTGGCCTTCAAATCTCCCTGATCTGGAAATGTGCAGGGAGTGTCAGTTTCCCAAGTCCTGAGGTAATCTTTTGGCCAGATGTGACATGAGAGCCCACCAGTTGGTATGGAAGGGGACAGGCAAGGGGATCTGGGCGATGCCTCCTTCAGCAGTGTCCCTTCCCTGCATTGCTCACATACCTGTGGCCCTGAGGAGCCTGTCACAGTCTGTCTCCAGAAAACTGTTCTAGAAGGTAGAGAGGAAAGGAGGAAGGTAGCCCAGAGTACATCCCACTCATTCTTTTATGTTGGTTAAAGGGATAGTTTTTTTTCTGCAAAAGAGAGCTTGGCAGATTTCGAAAATGAATAAAGGCAAAAAAAAAAAAATTTTTTTTTTAAACCTACAGGAGTTTCACAGAATCAAAGCTAGAAGAATTAGAAACTCTGTAGGAGGGCTAACCCTTTAAGAACTGCATCGTGATTTGGGGGGTTGTGGGGAAAAGGAAGAGTGACTGAGCTGAGGAGGATGCTAGGAAATAAAGGCTTGAGTAACTCAGAACTATTACAGCCTTTTTCCTAATGAAATGAGACCTAACACACTGGATCCTTGGATCTCACTGTATAGAACCTACTGTGTAAAGCCTCCCTTTGTCTCTTGTTCTATTCTCTACCCTTTCTTCTGAATTCTGCTTTACCTTCAAGCTGACTTTCCCAGAGTCTCAGGTCAAACATTACCTATAACAAGTCAGTCCTCTTGCTGATAGGGTCATGGTTATTCGCTTGCATTAAGCTTAGAATTGAATGGAATTTGATCACTGTATGTAACACCCCCTATGGGCATACCTGGCCTCAAGAGTGTTGGCTTTAAAAAAACAAACAAACAATGCTTACGTGGTAGAGAAACCCTGTAAAGGAAGAATCCAAGAGAAGATTATGAGGGGATTGTACAAATCCAGGCCTCCAGTGATCTCTGGTCTCTTGTCGACCCTAATGGGTCTGAGAAAAAAAAAACCTTTGCGAAGTGTCAGTACTGCTCGAATGCTGCTAAAATGAAGTTTGGAAAGAAGTTTTACCTCCAGGCTGGGCTTCTGTTAATCTGCGTGTAAATGAAGGAGACATACTAATGACAGAATCTCCTGCTTCTAATTGGGGAAATAGGGCTTTTAAAATTTTGACCTCAACTAAAAATGATATGCAATAGTCTATGTTGTATGTGTTTGAAAAATATTCTATCTCAGAGATTTCTAAGTCCTCACGTACTAGTGATTTGGGGCACAGGCCCACGAGCAGATATTCAGTTTGTTCACACATTATTCTGACTCATCCTTACACCCCAAGTTCTTGCTGTCTTCTCCCAGGGACTGCTAGCTCCAGCCCCCCCATCCCCCCAGGAGGGGTGGGCATTAGGGTCCTTCACAACTCCAGACTTTGGCGCTTGTCTCTCCTTAGGCACCCATTGCAGCAGCAGGTCGAAGGCCTATCATTTCTGCAGTGAACCCAAACTTCTGGAGTAAAACAGCCAGATTTATTTTTTAAATGATAAGCAGGAAGGGGAGGGAGGAAAAGAGGGAAAGAGAGAAACTTTAAGAGCCTGTGGCTTAGGAAATCCAATTCTTGGCAATGGAATCCCTGTAGGATTCAAATGTGGGCTTTGTCTTGATTTACTTTTCTCAGTTGTGCTTTGAAGTGATTAAATTTCATGAAAAACTAATTGATTAGTTCCATTCTAGGTTGGAGTTGAGTGAATTGGGGGTAGCACAGTGCTTTTGCAGTGAGATTGCTGTGAGGTAGCAAACGCCTGTGGATTTTGTAGTCGGGTTAACTGGTCGACAGTCCCCTGCCTCCCATAAGTATTATGTATTTGATCATCTTGTGTTCGCATCTACAGAACACTTAACCACTAGCTTGTGGTTTTAGAGCCACCAGAGCTCACTGCTGTCCATCAGTCCTAATCTCCACACTGGGCCCCATATGTGAGACTTGCTTGAATTTTGGTAAATTAGAGGATGCTGGTGGTTATTTCGCTGAAGCAGTTTGAAGGAGTGCAGCTCTGTTGTAAAGGGGGAATAAGACTATAACTTGGAAGGGAATTAAATGTGCGAGTCCTCCTTTAAGTGGTGCTTTGTGTAACCTGTAGTGCCGAGGTACAGAGTTGTATTCCACAAAGGGATGGCATACCGAAAAGGGATTTGAAAGCTTTTCTCTAAATGTAATTTGTCATTGGATTTTGACATGTCTGAAAATTATGTGATATAACATACAGAAATGTGACATTTTTCCCATAAAACTGTTGAATAAAAAACGTACTACGCAGCAATAATATTTGAGTTCTTGGCTGGTCACTGATTATATTCTCCAAATCTGTCGGCCTCGGGAGTCCCAGAACCTAAAGAACGCAAACTGCCACACAAACACATTTGAATAAAGAGAGAAGTCGTAGGCGTAGGACAGAAATGATGTCCTCCATCCATCTGCCACCTTTCCTCTTTTCATTCCAGGCTGTGCTGTCATTAACTAGAGGAATGCAAACTCAGTAATCTGAAATTGTGTCACTGCATACTTAGCTATTATCTGGTGTTGGATTTGCTGAGACCCTAGACCATGGGTTTTCACCACTGTGTGTACATATCACATCACCGGTGCAGGTTCTAGAAAAATACAGGTGTCCCATCTACTACCTCCATCCCTATTTAAATAGAAATCTCTGGTATGGGAGCCAGGTATCTGTAATGAAGTCCCCAGATGTTCTAATGCACGTCCAAGGATGAGGAGTCTGACCGTTAGAGACTTCATCATATAGGAAAGCACATTATGTGCTTCATTCTGACAGCAAATCACTCTCCTCAGGTGGCTTTGTTCAGGGTCATGATAGGAACAGGAGAATTTTTGTCTCCCGTCCCTTTATTTCACAGAGTTCTTAGAGAGCTGACCCCTGGGCTTTTCCTAAAACATCCCAGCCAGGCTCCCCTATATTTGCCACTCCAAAGCATCTAAAATGAGTTACATTTCCCTGAGGGAAAGAATGCCGCTGGAAGTGAGAAGGTGAGAAGAGTATGGGAGGTGATGGGAGAAGTGAGCGTGAAGGGGGGAAGCAGGGCAGGGGATGGGGATGGGGGAGCGGGGATGGCAGCAGAAGTTAACGTGAGCCCCTCCCCCTCTCCCGCTGCAGGTCAGGAGACTGCTTGCAGATCAGGATCAGGTACCAGTGGGATGTGATGTGGGCTCAGCCTCCAACAGCACTCTCTCCTAAACGTGCACACTGGTCACCCAAACAGCGTGGGCCAGAAGTCTATCAAGGCCCAAACTGGCACTGGTGTCTGCTTCCTACAGCATTTCTCTCTGGCTCACCGGCTGGGGGTCTCACTGGATTCCTTTGAACCCCCTCCTCCTTGGCACCGACGGTTACTCATTGCACAGATTGTTCAAGAACATCGTGAATCTCTCCCCTATCCCCGGCTTGTGTGGCCAGTGTTCATCCAGCAGCACGTAAGTGAGTCTAGAGTGCCCCTCCCTTTCTCGAACCGAGTTTCTGGCTCCAGGACACTTACACTGGCTGAAAATTAATGTCCCCATGCTCTGCCACCAGTTAGAGGTCTTCAGGCATTCAGTGGTGCTCTGAAGGACACTCCGGTCTTGTGAGTTTTCTCTTTTTCACTGACCGTCCTAGGGCACGGTTCTTTGTCAGAGGTCAGAAGACCTAAAGTCCATATGCTATATGGTATTTAAAAAAAAAAAGTTTTTAAAGTTTGTTTATTTTTGAGAGAGAGAGAGAGAGAGAGTGGGGCAGGGGCAGAGAGACAGGGAGAGACAGAATCCGAAGCAGGCTCCAGGCTCCAAGCTGTCAGCGCTGAGCCCAAGTTGGGGCTCGAACCCATGAACCATGAGATCATGACCTGAGCTGAAGTTGGATGCTTAACTGACTGAGCCACCCAGACGCCCCATGTGGTATTTTTAAGCTAAAAGTAGGTTTTCACAAATTTCTTAAATCCTTCTGAACTAGTTTTCCTTCACAACAGCTTCCAAAGTGCACCGGCTAGTGACAGCTTATGATAAGAACATCAGGCAAGAATACGGAGCACCTGAAAGAGCCGCCAAGATTACTGCAGACCTGGGTACCTGGATTTTGGGGGAAGTCTTTACCCCAGGCCAACCGATTCCTCAAAACTATCACCTATGCCCTAACTTAGTTCTTGTTTTCAGGGATCTTTGTTGTAGATTACAGTAGTTCTGAGTCACAATTAGAAGCTAGCTTGTGGGACTGGGTAGTGGGACAGGTGTTGCACACTCAACTGGATCTCAGAAAAATATTTCTGAGGGTCAGCCTGAAGATATTGTGGACGTTTGGGGTCTTCTATTTTACCCACAAATGGAAACATTTCTGCCAGCCTGAAGAAGGTGTTTCTTTTTCTCCCCCATTTAGCAGGTCTGGTTTATTAGGTTGTCTAGGAGAGTGACCTAGAGTTAAGATATCTGAGGGCAGAGTAGAAGAACTTGACAATCCAGGGAATCGACCAGATAAAGAGCCCATCTGAGCTCAGAACTTTTACCTAAAATAGAGAACTGTAGTAGCAACTAGGACTAGATGAATTCAAGTTCATGAAATAAGGTAGAACTGTCCAAGGTGATCAGTCATCTTGATCACTTGTCATCTTATTCCCTATAGCCATTTGCTAATTCTGGGCATGGGCTGAGGACTTAGCTTCACCTGGGCAGAGGGCATCTGAAGGGGTAGAGTAAAACCAGCAAAGCTCTCAGTGGCATGTGACGGTAAAGGGTGACTTGAAAACTTGAAGGGCTTCAGATGCGTGGTTGGTTTTCCCCAAAGGACACTTAGTGAGGCCGAACTACATAGGATGCTTAAGAGCTAGCACAAAAGGCTTATAAAAGACGGAGTTAAATCTCCCCAAGTTGCATGGTGCTGAGGTGATAAAGATAAACGACAGCAAGTGGGCTTTACTGAAGCACATGACATGAAGACATTTGTCAAGCACTGGAGTGATGTGAGGTGGGACACAAAAGAACTAAGTTAAAAATTCTTGAAGGGATAAATGGCTTCCAGAGAACTGCTTAAAAAAGCAAAATTCAAGAATACCTAAAGGAATACAAAAACAAGCAGCACTCAACGAGGTAAACAGTCACAATGTTTGATGTCTGATCAAAAATTACCAGGAGAGGGGTGCCTGGGTGGCTTAGTCGGTTACGCGTCCGACTTTCGCTTGGGTCATGATCTCGCGGTTCGTGGGTTCGAGCCCCGTTTCGGGCTCTGTGCTGACTGCCAGCTCAGAGCCTGGAGCCTGTTTCAGAGTCTGTGTCTCTCTCTCTCTCTGACCCTCCCCTGCTCACGCTGTCTCTCTCTCTCTCTCTCTCTCTCTCCTAGAAATAAATAAAAATATTTTAAAAAAAAATAAAAAATAA